AAGATATTGTCTTGTGATGGTTTGGCTACTCTCAAGATTTGTTTCTTCTTCCTTAGTCTTCATTTTGGCTAAGGAGTGTGGTCTTTTGCCTGTAAGTTTCATGACAGGTTTGCCGATGCTTCGGATTGTCCTGCAAGTGACCATGATCGTGGTTGTGAAGGGCTGGTTGTGGCTTTTTATTTGCCTTTATTTCTTTTAATTTTTTGTGGCTCTGCTCTTCTATGGCCACCAAATTAGATAGATGGGTGTAGGAATTAAATTTTAGTTTGTTTATCATATCTTATTAACTTACTTTCAATTTTGTTTTATGTTTGACCCAATTCTATATGATTTATTTATTGTTCATTTTGTTGAGTCCTCTTTTGGGTCTCTCTATTGTTGTTCCTACTATTGCTGCTTTCATGTTTGGGAGGACTGTTCATATTTTTTTCAATTACATATGGTTCCTTTTTTCTAATTGGTTTAATGTCTGGGCAAGAATTATTTTTGTTCTGTTTAATCTCATTACTCACATTATGCATGGCTAGAATGGGAGTGATATGAAATTTTGGTTTCTTTTTTTGGATGATACTCATTATACTGGTACTCTTTTGTTATATCAACTTTGTTATGCCATTTTATGTTCACAACCTTCTTTTATGCTTATATTGTATAGGGATATCTTATATTGTAGTATTGGTATGTTTCTTGTTACGGATCGAGTTATAAAAAAATACTCTACTTAGTTATCTGTTCATGTGGCTTCTTTAAAATTTCCTATTTGCTTCAATACTTATTTGACTATTCTGTTATGTCATTACAAGGTGTCTAATGAGGGCTTTTGGATTGCCAAAAACAAGGGTATGTTCATACTTTCAGATTGGATGTATTTGTCCTTTTTTTACTTAAACTCTTATTGCTCTAAAATTCTATCCTGCTACAATATTACTTATTTTTTCCATGTGTTATTGTGTTTGTTTCTCTATTGTAGTCATTCTCTCTTGCAGGTCCGGTTGACTGAAGTTTTTTTGGACAAGGTTACTATTTTTTTGTTGGAAGGTTTTGATTAATTCCTTTTGTTTGCTCTTCCTTTTTTCGGTGTTTCCTACGTGTAACCCTAGATTTTTATTAGGTGATTTTGTATTTCTTAGTATAGAGGACCATCGGCTCTTAGATTTATTTTGGATTATGTTGTAGCTCTTTCGAGCATTACTAAACTAAAGGCCCCCTTTAATGACCTTGTATCATTTATTTATAATAATGCGTAGGCCCCTATGTGGGTTTTCCCCAAAAAAAAGTATCTTTAAACCTCGATATCACCCATTCAAATCAAGTCATGCAACCTTCTCCAAATATATCCAGAATATAACATATAGTGCATTAAACAAAATCCCAAACCTGGTTAACATTGGTCAGGCTTGGGTGGACCAAGTCAACTTATGTTGACCAAAATTTTTTTTATCCCTTTAAATAATATTATATGTAATGAAACTCCACCAAACCCAAGTTAAGCACCTCCAACAAACTATAAAAATAATTTAGAATGCACCAAACCTGAAAGTTAAAGGGAGGATGTTAATCCTCAATGAACTATAGCTAAGCACAGTTACATGGGAGGGGGGAGGTGGAATTGGTTCTTTAAAATTTTTCCCCTTAATAAAAACTATTTTCTTTAAAAATAATGTTAAAAAAAAATAAGCAATGCAAATATAGGAAATATTTTTTATCATTTTTTAGTTTTAAATTTCTTTCTTATTTTCTTTTAAAGAAATTATAAGTCAATTTTAACAAACTAAACACATTTTTTGTGAGAGAATAAGTTTGTTGAAAATTAAAATACAAAAATAGAACTAGCACACAAAAATTTTATAGTGGTTCGGTTAACCTTGACCTACATCCGATCCCTAGAATCTTATTCTTTGGGTATTGTACTAAACCTTTAGTGTTTCTCATTTAGCACCCACAACAAGGTGGAGAACCCCTAACAATAATCACTTCTTTTAGACAAGCAATTTTTTAAAGCTTTGTTAGGGCATCCACCGTATTATTTCATTCATGGGATATCTGAAAAAACAACACATTTACAATTTGGTCAGGAAGCTTTCTTGTATATTTATGATGTATATTGAGCCTTCTTTAAGACTTTACATACCCCATAAAACTACCTTACAAAGAATTGTGAATTACCTAAAATATAAATCTTATAGATTTTGTTAAAAACAAATAATTATATACTAGTTATCAGTGCCTCATATTTAGCTTCATTATTTTTGTAGGGTTCTAATAAATTGTTAAAATATTATAGCATACCCCTTTTTGAGGTCATAAAAACAAATGTAATGCATGCTTTCCATGGTATAGGATCCTGTGGTGCTTTATATCTTTAACAAGATATAGTGCAATAAAAATATAACTATCAAGTAGAGCTTTTCTACACCTTTAAACTCATGATCTATTCATGTGATTACTCATCATTTAATGGCAATGATCTTAATAGAGTGAGACTTGTAGGTGGCTTCATATCTAAGATTGTTTTTATTTTGCTTGGATCAATTTTAATTTAATAGTTTCGTAGAACAAATCCTAGAAATGTCCTTAAAGTAGCACCAAAGGAACATTTCAAAGGGTTCATTTTTAAATCATAGTGGTGTATGTGTTCAAAGATAATTTTAATTTTATATAAATAGTCTTTCCTTTCATACCTTTCAATAACTATAACATCAACATAACACTGCATTAATTGGTGGATAAGATCATCACAATCCTAGTCATAGCCTATTGGTATGCAGCTCCAACATTCTTAAGTCTAAAGAGAATAATCTTATAGAAATTAACTCTTACCATTGTTCTAAATATGATATAATTATGAATATTAAGTGCAAGCATGATCTAATTTTAACTAGATGATCCATCCAAAAAGGCGAATATTATGTGTGAAGAAGCAATATATACCATGAGCTCTGATATAGGCAACATGAATTCATCTTTAGGATAGGTGAAACATCAATTTTAAGCCCCGGTTATGATACATGATTCATGGCAATATCAAGTTCACATATGTGCTTTATATTCTAGTGGTGTTCTTGTAAACTTGTTCAATGGATAATGAATTTAATTATCTCATCTCCTTTTAATTATATTTTAGAAAGTTCATCTTGGTAGAATGCAATTCTTGTCACATTCAAATAATATAATTTACGTTCTTCCATTGCTTAATCACATCAATTTTATGGGTAGAATGAACATTTATTTTTGCCTAATAAATAATGGAATATTATTTTTATTCCAAATGCATATAGTTTCTTTAGTTGGTTTTCAAAATCATAAAAATGAAGTTTTTTCTTGCATGGGATGCTCTTTACTTGTTCATTTTAGCAGCATTGTGATAACAATTGAGAGTGGAAGACTAGCATTATAAGGTGATTGGTGGTCAATTTTACAAACAACTAAATCAATGAGATTGCATGATTTCTCTTCTTGGTTCTAATTTATACTGGTTGGGGCCATCTTTTGTTTGAATTATTTCATTATCTTTTATGGCACATAAAGATTTAGAGGATGTTAGTCATAATTTTCATACTGAACTTTCTTCGACTTGTGAAATATAATATAAGTGAAAGTAGAGAAAATCAATTTATGCAAAGTTAATCGATTGGATGTTCTATTTTAATATGATTAGCTGTTTGCATCTTGATGTAGTTGAATGGCTTTATATAGATATATACAAATGTTAGATTTTGTGATTATTATATCAAACTCAGCAGGCTTATATAAGAAATTTTTTGGGAAAGTCAAGTGAAATCATTCCCTCTTTTTATTGTGTTATGATTTTGCAATAAGTGGCATAACATTAAAAATGATTTTCTCCTGTTTGTAGTTTTGTAATTTGGTAAGATATATTTATTAAGTCCAAGAGAGAAGTATTGTGAACATTGGCTGATTCTTTTATTTGTTTTATGTTATGGGGCTTGTACGCATACACACATCATTCCAATAGTATTCATCTAAATTCACTTGTTCTTTCAATGGATTTGTTGTTCGTTGGTTATGTATGTGAATTTGTTTTACTAATCCTTATATGGAGAGTTTTGTTTTGTTTGTTTGTACACACTCAATGCTAAACAAGAAATGTGGAAATTCTACCAAGTATATATTTTTAAGTTCACGTTTTCAAAGAATGATATTTTGGAGTGTAAAATTTTAATTAAGTAATACTTGTATTGCAAATATACGTCACAGCTTAGCTTATATTGTTTTAAATCATACCTCTCATCTTCTTTATTTTTTACGTTACTCAATCTTTCAAGATGGTATAATGTTAACTTATGCAAATTTATTTAATGAAACACTATATTCAAATCAGTGCATGATCAATTGCCCATATTCAAATCGGTGCCTTTGATTTAGCTTGAGAAGACTATAAATAAAGGGTGGAGAAGAATATTTTGAATATTTTTCTAGATATTATATCTCTTAATTGATCTCATCTAAATAGTATGGTTTTTTTCTAAGTTTTTATAATTTTTTCTTGCATTCCTCCTGCTCTATTCATCTCTCTCTTTCTCTCTCTTCTCATTCTCACAAATTCTTAGATCATCAACTCACAGAGTAAATTTATTAGTAAGTTCGAATGCCATTAATGGATAGATTAGATTCAACAATATTATTTTCCCCTTTTTTTCATGCTTTTCGTTTATTTTCTAACAAATATTCACTAATTAGGCACCTTTATTATAATAAAATAAACATATTATCATTATTTACCATGTCCACATCATAGAGATTTTCAATGCATTTAAAAGCAAAAAGATTTGCAAGCTCCAATCTTTCAAAAATTAACTGCAACTTACATTCAAAATTGAACAGAAGCCAACGCAAAAGGGTAAGAGGAAGAAGATAAAAAAGAATTATAATTTGATGGGAAGGGGATGAACCTCTGCCGACACCTTAGACATCAACCTTTTGCCAATAGAGAAATTAGAGAATTCCATGATCCATTTTAAGATGAAGCATAGATGGAGTTGAGATAAGATTAATTCATTCATACTTCAGGTGTTCCAAATAAGATGGGCATATCAGTCCACCTGATTTTTACCCAAAATTATACTGAATACATCTATTCATGGTAAAGTTGCTAGGCTTTGAACGACGCCGTCCACATCACCGGCATCCCCGGAAAAAAATGAAAAGTTCTTACAAAAAGATTTTGAAATTCATATAATACGGTTGCTAAAAGCCTGCAGATGAAAGAAGAAACAAGAAGATAGAACTACGGGACATATGAATTATCTACTAGCAGACTGCTCTTGCGCAAGTAGTGACGAGGACGCCTTCTCTAGGTTTGCCATGGAAATTGATGAACTCGAATGTTTTCCTTGAGCTGAACTTGAAGAAGAAGGGTGTGGCTCAGAACTAATAAAAATCGAATGAATGCTTGTGCTCAAGCTTAGGCTGACAGCAGTCGAAGAGCTATCAGTTGCCTTTGGAGGTGGAGGCTTTCCAATCTCTATGATTCCCTCAAGCATTTGCACCACCTTCCCAATTGAGGGCCTCTGTGATGGCTGCTCTTGGATGCACCAAAAGCTTGTCTCAACTGCTCTTTCAAGCTGTTCCATGTCAATCTCAGAGGCAAAGAGCCTTTTATCAATGATACTTCTAATTCCTCCTCTTTCAAACTCCTCATAAGCCCAATTGGAGAACTTCTTCCCCGTCTCATCTAAAATATCAAAATTTCGGCGCCCACTCACAATTTCGAGCAAAACCATCCCATAGCTATAGACATCAGATTTTGAAGTCACTGGTAAATTTGCAAGCCATTCAGGAGCTAAGTAACCTCTCGTCCCCCGAACACTAGTCAAGGTCCGTTGTCTATGATCCTTGGGATTTATGAGCTTTGCAAGGCCAAAATCCGAAACCTTTGCATTGTAGTTTTGATCAAGCAGAATGTTCTCAGGTTTTATGTCGCAGTGAACAATGCAATCTCGACATTCCTCATGCAAGTAAGTTATTCCCCTTGCAGTGCCAATGGCTATCCTGTACCGGGTTGCCCAATTCAACTTTCCAGATTCACCGTGGAATAAAAAGTTATCTAAAGATCCATTTTTCATGAACTCATAAACTAGCAGTCTATGCCTCCCCTCAGAGCAAAAACCAATCAACCTCACCAGATTCAAATGGTGAGTGCTGCTTATGGTAGCCACCTCCATCCTGAACTGTTTTTCCCCTTGCTCAATCCCTTCCAGCTGCTTCACAGCAACCAGTGTCTTGTTTGCAAGAGCCCCTTTATACACGGCACCAAATCCGCCTGAACCAAGCTTCTCTTTGAAGCCTTTCGTGGTGCGCTGCAATTCCTTGTATGAGAATTGCACAGGAGCACCAGATGCGTATTCCAAAAGTGCATACTGCATCGAAGAAAGACCGAACTTAGGACCTTTCATGCAGAAGAACCAACAAAACCCAACCTCTATCGCCACCAGGCCAAGAATAGCACCGACTACCACCACCACCACTACCCATGTCTTCAACCTAGACGAACTGGACTTAAACTGCGTTGAACCGGCCAATGGCGTGAATGGTTCAGCCGGAGAACAAACCTTGACAAAAGAAGTGCTAGGGAAGGAAGGGGACTGATAGCCACTAACAAAATTGGAGAACTTGAGATGGCAAAACCCCGAACCATCAGCAAGAGAGGTCGAGGCGACACATGATCCACCATTTAGGCAGTTCTGCCTGCAGGCTGTGATGCTAAGAAAGAACTGCTCATTGGATACCTCAGGTGGATAAGTCAAGAACTGTGTATTGTCCAGTACAAGCATCGTAGAATTTTCAGGGCAGTCCTGGATCTCCACCTTGCGTTTACAACCCCGTGTGCTGTCATTCGGATCAACGAGTGCGAAGTTCTCCGATGGGCAACCGCATACTGGCGAAGAATCGTTATAGCTGCATATGCCAAAGTTGCCACACCACCCAAATACATCACATTGATCTTCCACAGCGGACCACCGACTATTAGCAGTGCTGCTTCCCCGAAGAATACTATAAGCTCTCAAATTTCCATCTTTATCCAATCTAATAAACCTAAGCATGTCCCCATTCTCTCCATAATTGCTACTGTAAGCGATGACAACAGAGCTCGGAAGAGTATCATCGAAAAGGGAAAGAATTCCGTCGGTCTGGAGCATAAGGACGGGAGAAACAAGGTGTTTATTGGAGCTAAAAGAAGAGTTCAATCCCTTATTGAAATAAATAATTGAGCTATTCCATTTAAGGGTCAGATTTCCCGTTTGGAGGACGGTGAAGGAATAAGCCCCGGATCGGAGAACTTTCCCATAGGTAAAGTTTTGAGATTCCAGGATGGTATCAGTAGGGTTTTCGAAGGTCTCCCACACGATGAAATTGCTTCCGTTGGTGAGTTTGAGGTTACCGAAGTCATCGAGGGATGCGGTGTTGACACCGCGGTTAGCGGTTCCGGATTCCCAAACGGGGGCACCCGAAGAGTTGGAGAGGCGTAGGTTGCCGTCGGGTTGGAGTTGGAGTGTGCCACCGGAGTCCACTGAGCCGGCTGACCAGATGGGGACGCCACCGACATACGTGATGGCGGCGAGAAAGAGGGAAGGGTTTTGTGGTTCAGAAATGAAGGTTAGAGAGAAGGTGTTGTTGGGGGAAGGCCAGGAGGAGGAGTTTCTCGTCGTCAGGGTCGAGCCTAGAATGATGTCCGAAGCAGCGGATTCGCCACGGAAGACGATCAAGATGGCTATAGAAGAAAGAAAAATAGTTATGGTTTTCATTTTGCCCCCCTCTTCCTAGATTTCCTACTCGGTTTCTGCCTGTCGCGTGAGAATGTGAGGAAAAGGAGGCAGACGAAGAGGAATTAAGATAAGAAAGACGAAGAAGAATATGAATTGTGAGGGGACTTTGGTTTTGATGAGTCGCCGCATTTGCTGATGCGTGTCTTTGGAAAGTAAAGAGAGAATAAATGACAGGAGGAGAACATGCCACAATAAACCTCCACAATGAGGGCTTGTATGAGGGAATTCAACATCAACTTGATGAGAAATTATTTTTTGTAGAGTTTGGAAGAAAAAAGTTGACGAGAAATTATTCTATGCAGAGTTCAGATGGGAAGAATAGTATGGATTGTGAGTGTGTAAATTGTATACACAATGTGTATAAAAAGTTGATACACATTATGTATAATTTTTTACCTAGTGTGTACACTCGTATATCCAGATTATTCTTTCCATCCATACTTTGTAAAAAATAATTTCTCCAACTTGACAAAGTCATGTTTTAAGAAAATGTCATGGGTTCAGATGAATTGGAGCAACCACTTGAGAAAATGTCAGGTGTTCACATATAAGCCACCCATATTTTGTGAACTTGCCCTTGTTGTGAAAAGAACAATCCAAGGAAGCTTGTCATCTCCTTGGGTTGGAGGCTACCAAGAAATCCTATCCTACCCATAGGAATGGATCCTCCCATCGAGATTAAAGCTCATCTCATCGTGTTCAGTTGATAGTGGAATCAAGGATCCGTATGACTCAAATAAACTTGCCCCTCACATTAAGGTCACTCGAGGGCAAATTATTTGGTGCAGAGTCCGGACGTAGCACAACGTTCAGACTCCAATTAAATTTGTACATGTGTAATACATACACGTGGAGATTTATTGTGCTTTTTTGTAAGGAAATTTTTTTAAAAATTTAAAACATGTAATTTGATGACCTTTTGCTAAGCTTTTATTGTGTTTTTGCTGCTCTTTTGATGCGCTTTCACTTTTGTTATGTTTTTGCTGTCCTTGCGCTTTTGTTGTGCTTTTACTGTGCTTTTACTATGCTTTTACTATCCTTTTGCTGGGCTTTCACTTTGCTGCACTTTCACTATGATTTTGCTGTGCTTTTATTTTTATTGCCCTTAGACGAAAAATAAAATGACCTAAAAAAAAATAAAATTCAATTAAATCTCCACGTGTATGTATTACACATGTACAATTTTAATTGGAGTCGAACCTAGAGCTACGTCCGGACTACGCACCAAATAATTTCCCCAGTCAAGGACTCCTTCGAAGAAATCATGAGTGTCACTCCATGTCAAAAGGGTCGCCTCCTTTAGCCAACTCATAAACACTTGACAAAACATAACTCTCTCATGACTGAGGACATACTTGAACAAGTAGCAACCATCTAAACACAAATTATACCATGTTATGTGTCCATGGCCATTCATATTAGGTTTTATTTTTATTGTTTTTTCTGATTTTTTTTTGTAGCCTTTCCTATAGCTCTTAAATTTGTATAAATTAAAGATGAAGAGTCACATTATCTTCCTTTTTGGATATTTCTAAAACTATTATGGAGCTACTAAAACACTTTCCCCCAACATCTTTTTCTTGTCATACTCATTCCAGGTTCGCAGGTCCCAGTCACGTGGGTTTTCTTGTTGATATGATAGGTGTCATCCACAAATAAATTTGAATCCAACATCATGAAAGGTGTGATGAGCATGGTTGATATCAAATACTAGATAACACACACAAAGAATAAAAAAACAAACCCTGCCCTATCTATGAACATGGAAAACAAGAATTACTTCATTTCTTATGATCATATGCAGATGAATAAACAATTAAGGAAGATGATCTAAGTGCCTTTGTAGGGATGCTATGGTTTGTACCAAGCAAGAACTTCTTAGAGGCATCTTCTGGCTTGGTTGTTTGCCTTAGGAATTTGAAAGAAGAGTAATAGTCTTGACACACATTCCATAGCTAACTTATAATGTGTTTAACTATAAGTATGCAACCCACTGCCTCAGCATCTAAAAAGGGATATGCAAGAACTGATGAATACTTTTTCTTAGTAGATAATAGAGGTGAAGCATCCTCCAAAATTCAAGATGCATCAGATGGAGTCCTACAAGGGTAATACTAACGTAGAGAATCACATTGCTAACTTTAAATAAATTATATTGCTACGAGACTTCAATAATGGCATGGAATGTTAGTTGTTCCTTACAACTCGTAAGTACTCAACACTTATAGCATTCACGCATTTGTTTATTTATTCCTTACAACTCTTAAGTACTCAACAATTATGTCATTCACGCGTTTGCTTATATGAATGTTTTCCTTTTTTTTTTTTTGAGTTCAAGAGACTGACTGCAACCCATTTTTTGGGTGCCTAGAAGCACCATAAGTGTTTGTAGGCACTCCTTAAGATATGAAAAGAACTTGATAAGTCATTGGAAATATTCATAGATTCTCAAGTTAAATGCTAAAGGGTAAAGACTTAAAAATAGTGATTTTCCAAGCCTCTCTAACTTAAGAATAAACAAAAGGTTGATTTGTTTATGTCGACGTTCAACAATTAAGGATATAAGCTTAATTTCTTAAACTAGCCAATCGCCATGTTAATATAGAAGAATATAGTGATGTTGATGAATCTTCTTAATTCACTTACCTACATGAGCTCATAATTAAAAGTGATAAACAACGAGGAAGGGAGGGAGAGAAAAATCTCCTAAGAGATTGAAGAGCCAATATGAGAGCAATAATGTTACACAATGATTATCATCAAGAGAATTAAAAAGAACCGCTGTAGGAGAGATTACACTAAATTATTTCACCTCATGCACCAAGGGAAAATTGATTCCCTTTCCCTTATTAAGAGAAAGGAAAACATCGTCAATCTAATCATCTTATAAATACAAATTTATGAGTATTAATGGTACAACAAGTAGATTAAATAAAGAATCAGTAGTTATATAAGTGCCTATCCTCTGCAATGGTGAGTGTGCATGGCAAGGACATATAACAGTATTGTACCTTCCGACAAGTTAAGGCCATGATGATTAGAGATGGATATAGTTTTGGTCAAACTAATGAGTAATAATGGCTATATATAATTATTTTCAATTTTTGAGACTAGCTCATGATTTTATAGTGGAATGATGATAGGTTTATGTTAAGAGAGTTGTTATTTGCATGTTTTACATTCTTGCAACTTTTATAATTTTGATGATTTCAAGTATTATTGTTTTATGTGTACTTATCTCCTAACACTTTTTGAAATAGTTGTTTTTGCTCTTGTGTGTACAAACATTTCAGAAAAATCAAACTTCAGACTATGGAAACATCAAATCAAATTCAGCATGAGATACTTTGTGTATTTAAAGCTTATATATTTTTTTGAATTAAGTTTGAGAGGGAGTGAATGTAATTGAGTGAATAAATACACAAGCTTAAGAAGATCTTAAAACTGATCGTACGGGACGAACAAAGTTCGTACGGGATGATCAGGTCAGTTATCTCCTCGTAAGAGCAATGGAACGAAGAGGAATTGAAGAAAATTTTTCTAAGCCCTGATCGTCCAGGACGAAGTGTATTCGTCCCAAGACGAAATTTTCTTTGGAAAATTTTTGTTCAGATGAAATTTATATTCGTTCCAAGACGAGTTGCTCTCTGGAGTATTTTCGTCCAGGACGAAGTTTATTCGTCCCCGGATGAAATCTCCTCTGGAGAATTTTTGTTAAGACGAAATTTATAATCGTGCAAGGATGAGTTACTCTTTGGAAAAATTTTGTCCGGACGAATCCATTTTAGTCTCAGGATGAAGTGAACCGACTCTGAAATTTTAATGATGTTCTGCAGTTTTTGGGAACCGATCTATGGAACAATCGTTCGTACAAGACGAACCTAGTTCGTACGGGACGATGTGTGTGTACGAAGCTATTTCGTACCCATATACATTAGGTTTATTTCCAACACATTTAAGTAAAATCGTCTAGGATGATCCACGATAGTACGGGATGATCCACGATCGTACAGGACGATCCAATGCGTATTGACTTGAAAATTTGCAATTTTTGGACAGTTTTTTGTGTCTTTCCTATAAATAGTATAATCTAAACTGCCACTAAATCTTTTTGGTCACTGATCTTCGTGCCTATTGAAAGAAGAGTCAAGGATAGAGTGTGAGAGAGTGTTCAAAATAGAATTCTTAATACTGGAGTGTAAAGGCTTCACTTGGTGTTAAAGGTAAGAGTTTTTACTTTTGATTTGTGATTACTTCACTCTTTTCTTTCTTTCTTCTAGATTTCTTGTGAAAAGATATGTCAAGGAGATCCGGTTCTCTGCCGACACTTGGAGAGTGTGAATAGCTAAAGGGTTCTCTGCCCACACTAGGATAGTGTGAAAGGACGAAGGGTTCTCTGCCCATACTAGGAGAGTGTGAAAGGACGAAGGGTTCTCTGCTCACACTAGGACAGTGTGAAAGGATGAAGGGTTCTCTGCCTATACTGGGAGAGTGTGAAAGGAAGGACGGTTCTCTTCCAACACTAGGAAGAGTATGAAAGGACGATGGTTCTCTGCAGCACCGGGTAGTGGTGAAAGATAGTTTTGTAAAGGCTTCTCCGCCTTGCTGTGGGTGCAAAAAGAAAGTCACTAGTGGTATTAGTGCAATACTCGGAGGGTGCCTCCGGGGAGTGGATGTAGGTCTAGTTTTGACCGAACCACTATAAATCTCATGTTTTTACTTTTCCGCTGCTTTTTATTTTTGTATTTTTACTTTTAAAATTATTGTTGAAAAATGTTTTCTAGAAAAATTCACTAAAGTTTTATTTTCGTTTCCTAATTTAAAAAGAGGATTAAATTATTCTTTAATTACCAATTCACCCCCCCCTCTTGGTTAGCCATGGGACATAAGCTTAGGTTTAACAACCTAATTTATAGTAAACAAGTTTTAACAAGTGGTATCAGAGATTTGTTTCAAAATCATAAGTTTAGACTACTTTTTTATTAACGTAGATGGCTACATTTGGAAACCGAAATACACCCGAGGGTTACTCTATAACTAGACCTCCACTATTCGACAAATTACCTTTTGATTTTTGGAAAACACGCATGTCTACATTTTTACAGTCACTTGATTATCGTATATAGATCTTAGTTCAGGAAGA